AGAAGTTGAGAAGCTGGAAGAGCTGAAGAAGGCTGTGATTCGCGTTGTGTACATGTTGAAGACAAAATTGCCGGAATTGGAGAGACATCCACAGTACTTGGATCTCTACAATACTATTAAGCACAACAAGGAGTTGGAGGTAAATTTGAAATTTTGTCATATTCGAAAAAATGTAAATATTGTTCAAAGTCAAGATTGCTCAGTTTTTCTTCCTAAAATACAGTAATCATATTCTAAAATTCTTCAAAAATGAGCATAAACAAATTTTGGGACTTTTTTAATATTGGGTTCTCCAAAATATTAGATTTTTTACCGCATTTCCTCTAGTTGGAGCCTACTCAGACCGGCAACTTTGAGCTCAATTTTCTCGATTCCTGTGAAAGATATGAAAAATCATTCGTCAACTGATAAAATTATGGTGATATTATGAATAACATTTTATCGGTTGGTAGGTTTTTGATATCTTTCACAGGAACCGAGATATTTGAGCTCCAAGTGGACGGCTTGGGTAGGCTTCTATTAGTGGAAATACGGTACTTTGAATTCTAACCTTGAGGCCATTTTTAGGCCCCTTATTACCAAAAATTCCTATTTTATGTATCTAAAAATTGCTCATTTTTAACAACTATTTTTCTTTCAGTCCCTCTCGGAAGACGTCCTCCGAGAGTCTCAACGTGCCGTCGTCTACGATACCCCAATGGAAACTATCTGATTTGCTCTTCTTTCCTTTTTCATCTTTGAAACCCCCCTTAAATACGATGTTCTGTAATTATACCTAGTTTCAGTATCTCTTTCCCTACCCATTTCTCTCAAAAAAGTGTAAATTTCTATCTCCCTCCCCGTTCCTCCCCTGAAAAACAAGTCATTATTATTTATTCTTCTCTCTCCCAAGCCTGTCCCCCCAATTTCCTCCAATTTATATAATTCAAAAAGAGTTTTATCCGACACACGATTCATGAATCAATTCTCTGGTATTTAATCTTATAATCCTCTTGTTTTGAGACTTTTTCACACGTTTATTAATTTTAGAATTTCGAAAATTGAAATTTCAAAAATTTTGAAAATTTCAGTCCGAAAATTTCTGATTCTACGGTTTTGAACACACATTTTCGACATTAGGTGTAGTCTAGGTCAGAGTCACACCCCTTTTTTATCACGTTTTTGCACATTGACCCCGGAAAAAAGTATTCATAATTTTTGTTTACTTTTTCACTCAAAATTTCACTTATTACACTCATTTTAGACCTAATTTTTGATGATTTTCTAGCCGAAAACATCTTAAAATGAGGCTGAAACCTCTAATTTCAAGACTTATTTTGGCCTTTTTTTGAACATTTTCTGGCTTTTTACATTGATTTTTGACTTAATTTCAGATAATTTTTTAGTCTAATTCCCCAAATTTTGACCCATTTTAAACCTATTTAGAGGCTATTCTAGCCCGAAAAACTCCTGAATTCAAACTTAAAATTTCACTTTTTTCTTCATTTTTTGACCAAATTTTTTAGAATTTCTAGACTGAAAAACCTTCTTGACCTAATTTTCTTGAGTTCTTTAGTCTCAAAAACACCCAAAAACCCCAATATTTTGACCCATTTAGGCCTTTTTTAAACATTTTCTGAAATTTTTTCCCCCAATTTCTCAAGATTTTCTAGTCTAAAAAATCTCAAAAAATCTCCCAAAATTTGACCTATTTTGACCTATTTTTGGTCATTTTTTGAACATGTTTCTGACACTTTGAGAGATAAGAGATCAGAAAACGTGATTAGGCCACAATATAGTCTTCATCTTCTTCTCCTATAAGTGACTGTATGATGATAATGTACAAATACAATATAAGACACAGTACAACAGTTATACTATCAAAAGAGAGATAGAGGGGAAACGAGAGAGAATGGAAGTTGAGGAGACGCGGAGAAGGCACGCCTTCTAATAGAAGATAGAGAGATGGAATTGGGGCCAATTTTTGGTCGATATTTTGTGTGTGTGTGTGTGTGTGTTTCCTACACACTCAATTTTTTGTTATTTACTGCCTCCAAAATTTTTTTTTGTGTTTTTGGAACAAAATTTTCGGAATTGTGTTGAAGAATACTGTAGTGAAAGTTAGATGTGCAGGATTTTGAAATCCATAGTGGAAAGTTCTGAAAATTTTAATCTGGAAATTTCAGTTTTTTTTTTTGAAATTATAAAAATGGAAAAATTTGAAAATGGAATTCAAAAAATTCCGCAAAAAATTTGTATTTTGGAATTTTTAGAATTTTTTAAAAAAAATTTTGAAATTCCGATAATCTGGAAATTTTCAGCAGATAAAAATTGGAAAAATCCCGAATTTCAAAAATCAGAGTTTTCCAGAATATTTGAAAAATTTTCACTTCAGAGCATCTGAAAATTCGGAAATCCTAAATTTCTCAAAATTCGATTTTTTTAGAATTTCGAGAAGAAACCTTTAACATTCAAAGAATGGTCCAGTATTCAAATTTCTGGAATTTAAACAAAACCTAAAATTCCAGAAACGCGGGAAGTTCAATTCATTTTTCTTTTTTGAATTTCCAGGAGTTTTTTTTAAAGGGGGACTCCGACCAAAAGTTTTTATTGCATTAAAATGTGTTAAAATTTATCTATTTTTCAAATATTATTGCGAAAAAATTCAAAAAAAATCCGAAATCTCCGAAAAACGGCGTTGAAAAGGAAGAAAATTCAAAAAAAGGTGCCGCCGGGGGACAAGGATTTTCAGTGAGAAACCTAGGCCACGGCAGCGGGCGTCATCTACGT